ATGATTAAATAAATCTTAGTTTAGAAAAAACGGGAAGTAGATGTTGTTCGCTGTAAAGTAGTTTAGTACTAGTGAGTTGCTGTATAATATTAAATTTGAATTCATAATATCATTATATACAAAAAACGATTTTGAGCGGAGACGGTTTGTCTGTCTAGGATATGTTATAGTTCTATACTATATTAATTATATTGCTATTAATTCAAAAAAAAAATGTAAGTTTACAGGGAGCTGAAAACCCGTGGGCCGCCGTGCCACACAATAATAGTATGTATAATAATATATATAGGTATACAATTTAWACATTTATTTTTATTAATAATAACTAATTATTTATTAACTTAATAGGACTAAATGTATAACTAAAACCTTCTCTATGATGTCATCTTTAATTTTAAAAAAACTGCACGACGAATAAGTAGTTTCGGAGTACCTATATATCCCGAACATACAAACAAACGCTATCATTTTATATGAGTATATATAGATATATTTTTAATATTTTTATCACATATTATTATACACCTACACAATCTGTAAATATATTTTACAATAAGCGTATGTGATGGAGGTGACATCGACATGGCTTGAGTGTCAGGAGATAAGAAGCCGCCCATTGGAGGCACTTAAGTTTAGGATGTTAGACTACGATTTTAATGTGCTAGTAAAAGGGAGTATACACGATTAAGGGGAGGTAGAGGTATATACAATTTTAAATGAGTAGGTCACGACATCAGGTACGTTTAAGACACCTTCTGGGTTCAACARAAATAGCTCGGAAATCAGGGGATTACGTTGTMTGTGGAAMTTGGAGTGTGTGCGTTTGTAGAAAGTTTTTGCGGCGTTTTTGACTGTTGGAATGGCTAGATCTCTATGTRAAGTGTAGTTAGATACATAGTAGGGGGCTTTGGTTATTTGGTGGAGACATTTTGATCGAAAGACTTGGGTTTTGTTTAAGTTGGACTTTTGGCTGCACCCCAGAGTGTATACTGTATGTCCAGATCGGTTTGAGTAGGAGTTTGTATAATAGTAGTTTGTTTTTTAAGTTGATGTAAGGAGATAACTTCATTGGCGAGAGTGATTATTTAAGGAAAGTCTTTTGTTGTGGGTGTAAGTTGGCCAAGTTAACCTGCGATCTAGATGTAGACCGAGGTATCGGAAATTTTGGAGGGTTGAGAGGGGTACATTGTTGAGGTAGATGGGGGAGAGCAGACTATTTGCCATATATAGATATARATAGAAAATGCCAATATAAACATTCAGTGGAAATTCCATGTGTCTATGGTAACTTTTTTTAGAATTACATCAATATCAAAATTCGATTTCCTCAAAAATTAATTTTGCGTAAAAATCTCCGTTTTTTTCTTAATTTTTTTCTGTTTTTCCCGGTACTTTTGAAAACTACTGGGGAATTAAAAATTTGACTTCGCACAACTAGATTCTGGAAAAGCTACTGAAGTGGAAAATCAAAGCATTATTTCGACAACTTACTTAAAAAAATACACAATATTGTAAAATTAATACATACATCACTCCGCTCAGAATATAAAATGTAAAAAAAAACAATCAATATTATCCTTGTAAAATTACTTTCTGCTTCATTATGTTCTGAATTATGAAACAATTGTAATTCGATATTKTTATATCGGTAACATATACCTAATTAAAAACGAATTTGCAGACGGCTCTCCCAAATCCACGGTCCATGACGGTTCTGTTGCCTACATGTATGCGCCTTAATTCCTGCCAGTTTCGCTATAATATCAATGCTGTGTATGTCCAACAGTTGCAACGTGAAAAATGGTTCATCGTCGTCGCCGAAAAAACCACACGTTCTGGCGCCATGTTCGGAAATTGAGTACTCTGCAGACCGGCAACGAAAGCTCATCGATTGTTTAACATTCGAAGCGATCACCAGCCAGAACATCGATGATCAGCTGGCGTTGAACGTGCGGTCGCTGGACGACCAGTTGATCGCGGCCACGAACGACCGGGAACGGTCCACGGCCGTGCTGCTCGAAATGGCCAACCGCATGAACGTGGCCAACTGTGAGTACCGCGAGTCCGTGGTGGCGGCCGACACGGCGTCCCACCAGCTGGCCGAACAGCGCGAAGTCGTCCGCGAAGCCCAAGCGTTGGTAAACAACCTCATAGCCCTGSTGTCCGAGGCTAAGGAATCCATGGCGGCCTACGTTCAACTAAAACAGGACTCAGACGAATTCAGCGTGTACGCCACCGGATGTCAGCCGAAGAATAACGAGCACCGACGTGCAGACGAAACCGGAAGCGGCGTTGTCGGGGGCGTCGCACACGCGGCCAAAGTTGATGCGAAGACGCCGCCGCCATCAACCAAAGCTGCTGCCAAGCCGCCGATTTCGTCGTAGTTCCACGTGTTTGCTTAAAGATTTTCGGATCTATATTTTTTTGTCTATGTATTTTGGATTTACGAGTGAAACTATATATTATTATGATATTGCAGTGTATCACACACTCAATGCAGTATGATTATTGTTACAAAAAATATTTGCTATGTTAGTAGGTAGCTGTTTAAATTAGTTTTCCTACAGCAATGTTGGTTTACCCATCATACTGCACAGAAACAATTAAATGTCTACCAAAAAATACCTCGRAAAGAGTCAAAAATATTTTTAATAGATTATCATATAAGTAGGTATATGAAATGATAATATAAAAATTTGATATTGATTTTTGAATTACAACAAAGTAAAAAAATCATTTATTTACAAGTGAATATTTAATTTAAAAATTAGAACTTCAAACATTTATAAAATTGTGACATTTCATACTATTTTTTTTTGTGGTAGGAAAATATATGAGGAATCTTGAGTTAAATTTTTAAATCTAAGGTATAAAATTAACAATTTTTAACTGAAAAATAATTCACAGATTTTTATGATTTTGAAGAATTTGTTTGAAAAAATTGAGAAAAAGAAAAAGATTGAAAATTCTTATTTAAAAAATATTTTGAACTTATGATCAATAAATTTTTATTTTAGTTACAATAATATCAACCTTGAGACTACAAGTAATTATATTTTATAATATTAATTTATTTTAATATTTGGAATACATTAGATTTAATTATTAACGTTGCCGAAAACATTACATTTAAAAATGTAATTCTATATATAGAATATTATGATATACTTTAATAGTTTTAACCACACACGAATAAAATTTTTGATTTACAATAAAATAACTAACCAAAGGAATCGTTATCCTTTGTTTAAAAGTTTGATTATTTAATTTCGTCACAATTTACATTTATATTTTCTAATATTTATTTGTTTTCAGTATGTAAATTTAATTTTTAATTTTTAATTTTAAATTCTACAAATTGAAAATTGTATACAAAATGATTTTARCATTTTATAAATATAAACTTAAAATATAAATAAAAAAAGATTATACCAATGAATCTTGAATTGCTGTGATAATATAATATTTTAAGACATATATTTTACTGAATTAAAAATTTTTATTAACATTTTTAGAATAAAAACTAAGAACAATTTCAAATTTCAAATGTCTATAAATAACTTAAATTATATTTAAAATGTTCATTGTATAGAAAATGATATTATGATAATCATTTAGCGAACATTTTAATGTTTTATTCATTTAATGCGTCACAGAATAAAATTAAATTAAAAAATGAATAAATGATTTGAATTTAAAAAAACAAATATTCTTGAATTCCTAMTACTATAATTTGATTAAAATTATTACATACTATATCATAATATTGAAGAATTGATGTAATATTGTGATAATATTATAGTTTATTATTTTAAATACTAAATATCAATATTAGATACCTACTGTTGTTTGAATAAATAAATTTAAAGTATACCTACCTGCTTGGATAAAATTGGTTTGGTCAAATAAATTAAAAATCAAAGTTATTTAAATTGTCTTAAACCCTATTAGCTTCTTTATAAGCCGATAATTCACCTGACTCGGAAAATAATTAATTTAAAAAATTTGCTTTTGACGTCATTTTATTAGATATTTTTTGTGATACTATGAAGGTATAATTTATTATACATTTATATTTGGTAACGAAAAGTTGAGTATAAGATGAAAATAAAAATTCTTAATTAGGAAGTATTTATATATTTATAGTAATTTATATTTAATCATTTTTGTAACCCGACTTTTTTAAGTAAAAAGTAGGTATTTAAAATTTTCTAGACGATTCTCTATAGTTTTACCATAGTTCTGGAATGCTTGTTAAGTAACGTATCCTTAGCGACGACCTTTGAATCGATACCAACTAAATAGAAAATTAACGTGGGTGCATTCAACCTATCGGTATGTTCCAATGTTTGTCTTGTTTAGTAGGCCATCATCATTTGGTTTCGACTTAGATGCATGTGTCACTAGCTAGATAATGTCGGCACGAAAGAATTCGTCGGAAAAAAAAACAAAAAACATTTAGAAAGTAGGAAAGCCCATTTCTTAAATACTAATAGCCGTATTGTACCTACGTCGATCAATCGACTGCTGTATTAATTTTTAATTTCTGCGTTTGCTAGTGATCTAAAAAATTCCGAGGAAAACATCATCACAGCAAAACCGGCAAACGCTAAGTTTTTGAAGTCTATGCTGAACGAAAAAGAGGAGCCCGAACGTTTCGTGAGTTGTTATTATATTTTTACTACGTTTAATTCCATTAAAAAAAAAAAATGAGTTGAATTAAACACGATAATTTTTGCCATTATAATTTTGAATTTGAACATTATATACGTGTTGTATTGAAGTATTGTGTTGTGTTAAAGTCTTATTCAGGACGGTACACGAAAACAAGAGAAAAAATGCATCGTACTTGGTTGTAAGTAAAGAAGTCGAATTACACAATACAAATCGTAAGTACCTATACCTACCTAACAAAATAATTCATTATTATTTACCTATATTGTAATGTATTTCATATAATCAGGATTTTAACGTGTCAATTTTAATGTTTAGCCGTCAAAATGAAAAACGAGTCTGAAGATTGCGGAAAACGAAAACCACCAGTTAAAGAACAATTGCCTGAAATATTGAACCTAGATAAGACCATCGAAGAGTTGAAAGCGGCGACGAAATACAAATTTATTTATCTAGTTTACGCAGTCAGCAAAAAATCTAAATATTTTTCACCGTATAATTTCAAAATTGTTCTGTTTAAAGACATCAACAAACGTAGTTTCTTTACGCTAAGTAACGAAGGTATATTGTCTCACATTGAAAACGAAGTGACGTTCACGCCATTTTCGCAATTTGAAGAGGAATATAGATCATATAAGAAAGTCGTAAAAGTAAGTGAACGTTTTTATGTTTACTGCGTATAATGTATATAGGTATAGGTAAAGTTAAAATTATTGGCTATAATTTACAAACTGAAATCTACAAAGGGCTTGATATGAAATGGACCTAACATTTTTGCTTATATTAACAATATTATTCAGCTCGGATTTTAAATCGATTTTCAATCAAAAATGTGCAAAATTAACATTTAAACAAAAAAAATTAAAAATATTTACGTGGTATAGTTAGCGCTTGTGTAGGTTAGATTAGGATAAGTATAGGTATATTAAATTATGCTAAGGTATAACTTTTATTTATTTAGAGACGGATCATGGTTTTTATGTATAATAAATAGACTAAAGCAATTCTTGCTTGGCAGTGTAGTGTCAGTAATACTATTATATAATACTAGAGTTTTGAAGATAGTTATTAATACCTATGTGATTAACAGTTGTTTCAAGTCTTTTTTTCGGATGTTTAAACTAAATCTTACGAAAACTTAAAGTTCACGCTTATATATATTGGCGACGAGGAATAGATGTAGTATGTCGAAAATACTGTTATAATGATTAAAAATATGTAAGGTGGTATAGGCTTATATTAGAACAATATTAGGATTTATGGGATTTATATTATGAATCTATAAAAATATAGTTTGAACAATACAACTGTGTTTATGATTTCATACGCAGATACCACTGTTTAAAAACTACTTACCGTGGAAGTGTCTACACTTCTGGTACAAATACATTTCGCAGAACAAATACTGTCGAGCTCGAGAAGAGTTACAGGGTCCGCTTTCGTTATTCATGTTGTCTGCTCCACTGCGAGACGCTTCGTTAAAAGTATCTGCCCTGATTTTCCAGACCGAGGCAATAAGCTTGTACAACGGTTCTGTTACCGAAGAAAACACACTTCAAGGGTTTAAAGAACAACAGGTTGGTGATAATCCACGCAGAGATTACTGTCGTAAACAATACAACGACAGCCACTTAGCACAAAATTACCTTAAATTCAACGGACACTTGCACACAAATCTATTAACGATGGTTACGTAGGTACTCTGCTTTTAAGTAATTTTTGCACGTTTACAGGTACGCTAATAAAAATTGTAATATATGATAATTAGGGCTGGGATTTTAATGCCCTAAAAAACCCCGAAAAATGATCTTAAAAAATTAACTAGAGTAATAAAACGGTGTTTACGACGACAAAACTCGTACTGAACGTCGAACGATATCATCGGACGTCGATTTTACCCACTTAAGATTATTTAACAGGAAATAAGAAAGTGTTTACTCAAACCTTGTCCAATAATATAATACGAATTACGAGTACCTACCTACTTATGATCTCTCATATTTATATAAAAACCATGTTGGTGTAAAAATCTTAAAATAAAATTTCAAATTCATACAACTCCAAATTCCAAAAACTTAAAAAATGCTCCAATAAGTCTAAAATGCCCTAAAAAATTAAGAAAATTACCTAAAAACTAAAAAATCCCAAAAAAAATGCAAAATAAACTTTCTTATTCTCATTCATAAGTACATAAAACAAATTTGTGACCAGACGAGCATCATCGCACAGTAAACTTTGGAAAACAATGCAAAGTGCGTCGAAATCCCAGCCCTAATGATAATACAAACGGGTGTATAACCCGTGAGTTCCTAAAAGTACTGAAAAAAAATTGAATACATTATCAGAGAAATTAATTGCAGTATGTTAAGCTAATTACACGGTTCGTACGTAATGTTAGTCACCTATAAAAAGTGTAAAATAAACTAGAAAATTTCACTTCAATTTTTTTAAGATTAAGAATTGCTGTTTCAACAATATTTTAATATGGTCATATTATGAAGGTTCTTCAAGCACAACTACTGCATTCGATCCGATCGTTCCCTAAAACTTATACGCGTTAATAATAATTTTAGTTGATAATTACATGTATGTGTGTTGATCGACGTAATATTACAATGGCGACTGAAAAGTTAATAAATGAGTTTTATGCGATGATCGGAACGAATGCAATTCAAACATAACCGTTTTCTGTCTCAAGTGAAATTTGACTTTACAATACTATAAATGCTTGATTGGCAACTCGATATACCTATAATAATATGATACTGTTGACAACTATAGTAGGTAAGACTGGATTAATATAACATGCAATCTTTTTTAAATGGACATAGTATATAAAAAGTATTATTAGTTAACTCCTGAAAATAAATCTGAATATTTATACTAATACTATGCACACCATTCTGTAGTAAAATATTAAATTTAGCCAACTATTTATGCGGTTTAAAACTAAAAACACGAGATGATTAATAAATGGGTAAAATTAATTAGCAATTGTTTAATTTTATAGTATAGTTATTCATATAAAGCAGTTTTAATTTTTAATTTATGCATTCTTATTCAGGTAACTGAATTGTTCTTAATACACCCAATTCACCACATCAAAATAAATAAAATAAGAGGGTATAGCGCTGTTCAAAAAGTTTTGATTGTACTTAACTGCAAATTTTTTTACGATTAATCATTGTTGTTTAAAAACAAAAATTATTTAAAGTTATTACACTGTGAAATGTAAACTGTAGGTACCATAAGTATACCTAACATCTAAGGTAATGACTAATAATGATCATGATGAGTTAATCGCATTMCAATGTGGAATCATTTTATTCTGAAATATGTTACTCGTAATAATAATGGAAGCATAATATAAATCCTCAGCAATGATCTTAATTAGATAATATTTTCTACTGCCTTAGAAATGTTTTAAATTTTTATTTGTATAAACTGCATGCCTACGTTCCGCGAGATGTTATTTTATGTCCTTGGCCAAGATGGTTCAGGATTTGAACCATATAATTTTATTTTTTTTTAGTAATCTTTACATTATTATTCATCATATTTTTGTGCAGGATAATAGCACCGAGGCAGCCGTCGGACATTTGCAAAACCTGCGGCTGACGGTCAAAGGCTTAGTGTTGGCGGCGTGTTTTAGCGCCCTAACCGAGTGTGGGTTCACCACGGATGATTCGGAATTTTGTACCACAAAGTCATCTCTTATATCGAAGTCCCGCAGTGGTGGTAATGGTATAGGTACCGCCGAATACACGATGCCGTTCGTAAAACAAAGAACCAAACTGAAATGTTGCCAGAGGATATGCCGGTTCATCACGTATGTCGATTTCCAGTTGCAGTCACATCTGCACAGGATTGCCAGAAATCAAATCGTTCGTTTTGAAGCAGATGTGCGCCGACACTACAAGTACGTTCCTGGCGAACTGTGTCAAATGAACGGTCGCATCAATGACATCGATRCGTTGTTGGAAAGTGACAGGTCTCCGGACGATCCAAAGGTTAAATTGATTATACATTCGATCGAAACGATCGTGATATTATTACAATAACATAAATGTCGATTTTGATGTATAAAATATTATTTTATAAACTTTCAATTTGTCAGTAGCCGTTCTTCGTGTTGGAGGTGTTTTTAACGAAAAATGGTATCGAGTTCGATAACTCCCAAAGCGATTTCACCAATTACGTATCGTTTTTAATGGAAAATTGGAAATGGATCCTTTTCAATCACGTTCCTCCGCTTCTGGACGACATTGAATTCAATGATTTCGTAATGTAAGTTTTAAATTCATGTATTCCACCATTTCATAATTACAAAGGGTATTGGGTAAATTGCTTTTAAATTTAAAGATAAATTATGATTGCATAGTAACTATACATTTGTACGTTGTACTTAGGTACTAGTTGCASGGAATTTGAGTATGCAAATATGAATTTACAACATTTTTAAAAACCATAAGTGTACCTATAAAGTTGGTATTTTTTTACAAGCGATTCTGACACTGGCTTATAGTATTTCTTTTTCATATTTTTAATTATCAGGTCCATTTATTTTCAACCAATTTGATTGTATGGGCTTAAAGGTATTCATAACATAATAATATATATTTGTGCGTATTGCCTTTAATGGGTACCTATATGCTAAAAATATTAAGTTCTATAGACTATGATATAAATACATGATCCAATTTTAAATCTTAATGTTTTAATTTTATAACTATGCAATAGGTACACCTGATTATAAATATTTTTTAAATCATTGTCATTGGAACTCATAAAATCTTTTAATAAAATAACCGCAATACATTTATTAACCAATAGGTAAATAGAAAAAATATGATATTATAAACCTTGAACAATAATTGCATTCACGTGCATATTGAATACTTTATAAATACATCAAACATTTTCTACATTAGGTACGCCATGATTTTATGAGTTATATAACTTTTACTTTTAGCTTAAGATCATCAAGTTCTTAGGCCTTAGTATTCCATATTTTGGAATTTTGGTTTCAAAGATATTACTGAATGTATTCTTTTTTATTCAAGGTTTTTTTCTTACTTCAATTTTTCTTAATTTTTTTAGATACTTAACCTGGTTTTAACTATTCATTAACGTCGTATTCAATAGTTATTTTGCTTTTAATTTATACATTAATAGCGCTTGACTATGAATAAAAATCTAGGTACCAATAAAAAATAAAAAATATAGTTAAATTGATGCTTTTAAACTGTTTCTTTTGAAAATGAACTCATAATTGTAACATTGTAACATTGTAACATTGTAACAAATAAGTACTTCAAATTATACATAAAATAAATCAAACATTACATTTTCTGAAAAGTATTTATTGAGTGTTGTCAAAAATAATATAAATTACTTAAGCGTATTTTTAGATTATTTTAGGATTCATAGAGCATGATATATTTTGAATTTCGATTGTTCATAATAATTAGTTCTTAGAGCATAAAATTTACAATCCTATTTAAATAATTAATTATTTATATAATATTTAAAGTATGTATGAGGTAAAACGTTAATAGGTAAATAACTCATTAGCTAGTTACTTAATACTTTTAATTAGTAATAGGTACTAGATAAATAATTATTTTGCTAGTAATATTCGTTAGGTATCAACTGCAGTATGCAATTACTAACTATATACCTTGTCTAACTAAGCATAACTGAAATAATATACAACCTGAAGATTTGATCGAATGCAATAACAATTTCAGCCCGTCAATTTGTGGATATCAAAATGATCGAGTATGTGGCAACGGACCATCATTGCAGTTTGTGTTTGAAATTGACGATGTTTACCAGTGCACCATTGAAAAAATATTGAATTATTTTACTGCAAATTTTAAGGCAGTACATCAGTATTTAAAACGTCTGGAATATGTTCACATTATTTACAGGGACAACGAAAATATCGATAGAGAAAGTATCGAAAATGATACAAGTAAGTATTTATCCACTTATTATGTTAGTGAATGATATCCACCAATTCACTCGCATCGAAATGAAGTACCTAGATACATAAAATCATTTTCTTTTCTTAGGCATTATTAATTTTCGGAAAATGTTAGAGAAATACAGACAACAAATAGCCGACGTGGACAAAATAAAGACCGTACAGATGTTGGGCATATTTAATTTAAAATTACATCTTTTAAAAAATGTTGCTAAACCGACTTGTGAATATTTATTAGAGCTAGTAGAAAAAACACTTTTAAAGTATGTGAGGGAACATAGCTACTAAAATAGTATATAGAAAAACTGTCTTATAATCAAATATACCTTTATTTAGAGTGGGCAAGCGGTTGGTAAATGAACTGTCAAACGAAATAAATGATTCACTCAAGTACCTCCACACTTCACCATCTACAGCGGCACAATATGTAGATTATAAAAAATTCCTGGAACATTTTCCTATAAAGGTTTGCGTTTAAACAATATAATAATAATTATACGTACACACTAAAATTACACGAAAATTAACAATATTCTTTAACTTGATTCAATATTTCAGTTGGACGAAATAGATAAAAATCAAAATTATATCAGAGAACTTTATGACTTAGCCGAAAATTTTGAAGTGCCCGTTCCTGATGAGGATATCGAAAATTATGATGTTAATAGCAATATTATTATTCTGTAGCTTGTGGCTTAATAATAATATGCAATTTAATAATATTTATTCACAGAAATTTTTAGACGCATTGAATACTTTACAAACAACTTTTAAAGACGTTAACAGTGAACAAGACAAACTCATTGCAGAATTCTTCAAAAAAATTGAAATTCATATAAATGAAATCATTCAAGATGTAGAACAAATAAATATTGAGGCTAATGTAATGATGTATAAATATACAGATTTCGGGGATAGTATCCCGAGTACAGTGTTCATAATAATTTTTTTATATTGTTTCTCAAAAGTGTTTGATACTGTATTCTGGATATTTTTGAGGTTTTAAAAGCATTTAAAATACTTTAATCAGAATACATTTATAATATTAAAATAACATTTTTAGTTTAAAATTTTTTTTTTGTAAAAAAATCATAAATTATCAGTTATATATTATATTATAAGTAAATATATTTTAACATTAGATATCATTTCAATGACAAGTATGATTTTTTAATATCAAAAAAAAAAAAAAACATTTTAAACTATTTTGGAAACTAATTTTATAGTATTTTAATACATGTTTTTCGGAATACTATTTTTCATAAGTAATTATTTTACCGATTTCTTATATATAT